AAGGCATGTTTTGGGTGATTTTTTTCACGATGGTATGGTATTTTAAAAAATAATTGCAAAAAATGTCCTTGAAGTGCCCTAATTTTCTGAGAAATATGCAGGAAAGATGACATTTTGAAAAATAATTTTAGAAAACAGTCACTTTTTTTGTTTTTGTCCAAAAATGTCAAAAAGTTCACATTTTGACAGAAGGTTTTATAAAAGGAAAAATTACAAAAATGTTTTCAAAATGTGCTAATTTCATGAAAAACATGCAAAAATGATAAAATTTTGAAAAATACTACTAAAATTCATCATTTTTTTTAGTTTTTGGCAAAAATTAAACAAAACGTTCAGATTTTGACAGAACATTTTTGAAAAAAAACTAATTCTAAAAATGTTCTCTAAATACACTAATTTTGTGAGAAACATGCAGGAAAAAGATGGAATTTTAAATTTGAATTAAAAAGATTTTCATCAAGTTTTTTAGATTTTGACCAATTGCAGAAAAGATAAAATTCTGAAACTTTTTTTGAAAATATTAAAATTTTCCACCTTCATACCAAAAAATGACAAATTCAGATTTTGTTGAAAAATTCTGAAAAACATTTTTTTAAGTTTTTTTCACTATACAACTGTTAAACGACAAAACTGAAGCTTGATAACCAAATCGGAATCAACAAAATTCTTTATTTCCAATTTCAACGTAAACACAGTACTTTGTGGCATGTAAGTATTAATTTAGTTTACTAAGGCATTGACATCAAATCTGTTGATCTTCAAGCATATGTTACTTTGATGATTGGCAAAGCCCGTATTTTCAATATATAAATAAATTATTTTGTCAGTAAATCATTGAACTAAAGTGGTCTGTCACCAATTCTTACTATGAAACAAAACAAAAGAAACTATGGAGAAAATACTATCACACATCTGCATGATAAATTTCAAACGGTTGCCATTTCAAAATTTCTTTCATCACAAGTAGTTTTTAAATTATAGTAAGGTTGAAAGAGATAATAGGACAGTGAGGTTTGAAAAGGAGAGCATTCAGCAGTGACATTCAAGTTGGCAGAGGAGGCACTCACTGGGTAAGCATGCAGTCGTTTTTTGGAAAGTGCCCTCAGTTTCTGGGCTAAGGTGGCAAAATGGCAAAGTTAATTACAGACATTTAAAACATGCTCCTAGAAAGTAAAAGTGCATTCATTTTGGCACTTGCAAAAATTGTTAGATTAAAAGGAATGTGCCTTGTGAGACAAACAGTTGTGGAAATATTCTAAAACAGAAAAAAAAAAAAAAGTGAGAGAAGAATGTCACTGATAAAGTTAAAGCTCTAAATATACCTGTAAAGTCCAGACAACCTTTATGGCACAGAAGACCTCCTGTCGAGTGGGACATTAATTTGGAGACACTGAACATCTGACGAGTGGCGTTCAGAGAACTTCACTCGGTCTGAGGCACTGAAATTGATGGACCTTTGGGGTCATCAAAACGATCCATGGTATTTAGCTGCATAATCATGTGCAGACCGTACACGAAAATTAGCAGCATGAGTAGTGAGGTCAGCAGACCCATCCAAATTCCTGCAGTGAAGAATCCGGCACAGTCACTGGCGTAGGCAAAATTGGTTCCATTTAGTAAATTAAAGCCTTGAATCTGTGTGGTAAAAAAAAAAAAATTAATGAAAATATTTATCATCTAATTAATATTATATTACATTATTTATCAGAATTTCTCCAGCTCAAGGCTGCTTCAGGCCCTACCTGGAAGTCAACAAAGTTGAGCCTCCACTGGGATGTATTTTGCATCATGCTGCTTTCGTCTGGTATCAACAGGGCATCTTGGAAGGTGGTGACTGACTGGCAGTGGAAGGAGTACTCTGCAGGAGCGTAGATGCCGCGCCTCCCGATGAACGACGCAGTTTGACCGTTGGACTGCAGCTGCACAGAGTCCAGGGTGAACCAGTTTCGTGCAGACACGGGGTAAAAGCGCTGGCTCATGGCAAAACTGTGGGACAGCACAATTGTGTTTGTAACAAACCAACAACAAACGTTACATTTTATCTGATAAACCTCAAACATACAGTATTCAATTCTGGAAAAACATTTTCCAATAAATTAGTGTACCATATTAGCGTTTCTTGGAATCATGCCTTGGTCATAGGACCTTAATATTTTGCAATCAAAGCCCAAACATTTTAAATATTTTTTACTTGGACAAAAATGTCTAATTATCCAAAAGAAAAAAATCCAAAAGCTTCCTGTAGTACCTTTCCTGCTTAAGACCAGGTGTTTGGGGGGAAACAGATTTTATTTGACATTGTGGATAATAAGGTTATCACAATTTTTAAAAAAACCTTTCAAATTTCCTAAGCAAAAAGTGCAGCAGAGTATTTAACAAAATTTAAATCAATGAACCTTACCTTAAAACAATTCCTGATTGATAGGTGAGAACCAGCCTTGAAAAACAGAGAGAGAAAAAAAACCCTTTGATTCTCTTGTTGTTATTTGCAGAAATGACATGATAGATGTTTTATTTAAAGCCAATCTTACAGAGAGTTGGTGTTGTTACACATGGATCCTGTCAGAGTAGGTGTTTGTGAACCGAGGTCGATCCACTGCATAGAGCTCGACAGGCTGACGCTGAGATTTTGTGCCCAGAGCATGATGCAAGGACTCCCAGGTGGACCAAAAATGATGGGTGGACTGACATCAGTCACCACTGCCTGGAGTAAAGACCGTCCCACAGACTCTTCAGACACTGACGGCTCTGAGATCACCTGCAGAGATAAAACATTTATATTAGAACATGTTGGATTTGTGGAAGACTGACCTACTGTAAACGTGTCATAACTCACTCGTGATGGCTGCAGTCCTGTGTATATTGCTGTGTACTGACAGTTCTTGGCCATCATGACTGCCAGAACCTTCCCGACAACCTCGTCTGTTTAGGACAAATTCAGAAGAGAGTAAAAAGAAAATGTGCTTTGTTGCTTTGTTGTTCTGTTTGAGAAAAAGTAAAGATAAGAGAAAGAAGTACTGTATATTTTGTAAATCTCTAAATAAACTTTTTAAAGGCACATGTCGTGTCACATTTACAATTGTATTTTACTGAAATAAAGACATTTTAATTTTGTTGTGATGTTGAAGTCATACATCTATTTAGGCCAGTGATTTTCCAACCTTATTTGAGCTACGACATATTTTACATTTGAAAACTCCCACAACAAGTACATGTTAATACAGTATATAAAAAGTATATTGTTCAAAAATTAAAGAATTTATTAATCACTTACACTGCTGTCATGGCCCAAGTGTCACTAATTTTATTTCTTCAATAGCTACAGGTATATACATATATTAATACGCCATCTCCTGCCACCTAGTGAAAGAGTATTTCAATGTTCGGCCCACTTATATGCCACAGCACAGAGGTTGGAATCAGACATTATAACTGAACTTACAGACCAGGAAATATAATCTGTCGTTATAGCACCCTCTGCAGGGGGGTTGATAGAGCAACAGACCCTGTATTTTCTAACACTGTTTTTAAATGTTAAAATTCAATAGAAATGTGTTATTGTGATTAAAACCCAGCAACCAACACTTACCGTTGTTGAGCAGGTCCTCTTTACAAGACTTGTACAAACTGTTAAATGGTTAAAAAGAAGAAAGAAAAAAAAGGTTGAGTATTTTGTCAAACTATAAATAAAAAATATTTCTTGTTTTAACTATAGAAAACAGAAGTCTGACCCAGAACAATAGGGAAGACTGATGAGTAACAGTTGGTTAACAGACGTGTCGATGGTCAGGTGTGACAGACTGTCTGCATCCACAAGCAATGGTGAAACACCAAGTTTGTCCTGCAGCAGAGCCAGGGTGGCCGTGGAACCAGACCATTCCAAGGCCGGAATAGTGACAGACGATGCAGAGGACCGAAGAGCAGTCTGGAGTGGAAGGAATTAGAAAAAAGAGTGTGAGTTAGACAGTTAGTTAGAGTGTGCTGGACAAAACTGGACAAAACTCAAACATCTTTTATTAAGTAGTGCTCTTCCTATAGGGACCTACCTCAATGTTCTTAAAGGCATTGTCTTGTTTGTTTCCAAATGCTCCCCCAAATACTGTGAAGTCATCTAAACTTAACTGAACAGAAAAGACAATAAAACATTGAAACTCCTTTTCACAGTAGAGGAACTGTGAAATGGGAAGTCACATATAAACATGAGCAAAAAAAATAGCAACTCCAAAATTGCCACATAAAAATGGTTTTAGAGGAACTGTGAAATGGGAAGTCGCATGAGAGCTAACTGTCACACCAGAATGAGAAGAGTTAACAGTCAACTGCAATGCGTCTGCAAATGACTCATTACTGTGCTGTCTTTACAGAACTTAGAAATTCAAGGACAACCTCTTTGAATGGTGAACACAGAAACATCCAACAAATCAAACTCTTAAATAATTCTTTAACTGTGCAGACTGCAGTGCTGCAGTTAGGACTGACCTTGTCCTGCAGAAATAATACCACAGTTTGTGGGGCGGAGCCAAAAGCTTCGGTGAGGTAGGCATCAAACTGGTCATGGGACGTGATGTGACCAGCTGCAAGTGAGGCTAACGGTGGAAGACTGGACACATAGGGAGATGAAGAAAAGAGTGAAAATTCACAATCAGCACAACATCACAACTGTTTAGTTTGAGGAACTTTTTGCATTAAAATTGAAAAGGCAAATGCTTATTTTTTTAAGTGCATCACTGACATTACAACCTGATGATCTGCAAGTACGGCCATCAGTCCAATACAAACTATTTTTATTTTTAAACAAACTCTTTTTTCTGTTCATAACATATTGTTTAATGAATGTATAAAACGTTTTTAAAGCTGCAGTGCAAACAACATTCAGAGATTATTGTTGTTGCTGACCTTTTTTTTTGTTGCTTCTATTCAGTTTGAACTGATGTAACAATGTTTGTCTGCAGTGTTCCTCATCTGTTAAATTGTAATGTCTACAGTCCATCATAAATACATGTGTGACTGTTTGTGGCTCTACAGTAGAAGTATAAAGAAGTGGATCACCTTGGACACCATCTTAAGCAAAAGCGGTCCTAAAACTTCATGTTGGAATATTTTGTATCTTAAGCTCTGCCTAAATTTGTCTTTCAGTCATCTTTCTTGCCAAGCTCAATTGTGTCACGGCGTCTTTGTCTCTGTCTGTCTAAAGTTTTAAACAAATCACTTCCAAGGCCGAATAAAATCATGTGAACGACACAAGATCACACTGCAGCTTCACTGAAACAGTGTCTCTCTCTAATATGAGCTAATACGCTAACAACATAATTCTTCATGATCATTTAAAAATAAATAGTTATAAATGATCTACAAACCATAAACATTTACAACAGTGCCATTTAAATTTGGATAAAACTTTAGCTTTTTACAGTTAGTGTACAGTAGGCCTTACTTCCTACACTCTGATAACATATGGCTTTACAGTTTTTTAATTTCTTGGTTTCACAATGAGTAATACAATGCAGACAATAGTAAAATGGGAGAAAAGTGGTTATGTTGAATAACACTGCTATCACATAAACATATTAATGATTATTTAGTTTACTTTTAAACCAATACGTCACGTTGAGCACTTTTAATCGTTAACATTAACACGGTCAGAAGGTGAGTTTCAATAAGATTTCGCCAGCAGCTTATATGTTTTATAAAGTTACACCCACATTAGGCATTTAAAGTGAATTTAACTCTTTTTTTAATCAATAAAGTTGGTAATTCAGCTGATATTAACTAAGTTAGCATTAGCAACCGCGCACTATCGACTGCGAGTATACTTCGCTTAACAAATAAAACAACTTTACCTGCCGTTGGACCATAGAAGAAGTGGCACTTGAGCGGTGGAGTTGCCTGTGGCGAAAAGGCCAAAAATAGTGATTAAAAAAGCCGTTAGTTTTACTTTATTCGAGCACGTCGGTCGAGCCATGTTTGCCGATAGCTTCCGCAAAGCCGTGTTCACGTGACCTGCAACCACCTGACCGTCATGTGAGCTTTGACTGCGAAAGGAGGAAAAGAAAGAAAGAACGATAGAAAGAAAGAAACAAAAAATAAGAGGAAGTATCTCCCTGGTAGCACTGCACACGTGAATTAATTCGAAATGCTATTGTACTAGGCCTGGGGGAAAAAAAACTGCTTGCATTTTAGCTCTACCGTTGGACTTGCAGATCACGTGACAGGACAGGAAGACAACAGTAATGTGTGCGGTCGAAGTGAAAGATGTGTTTTTAATATAATTATAATCCCATCAATTGCACCCAGGATCAACTCTGAACCTATTAAAACGACAGATGAGATGTTCACAGATTAATTTCAGTGGTGAGAGAGCAAAGTTAAAATAAAAGAAAGCCTTGCGAGGTGGATAGATACATGGGATGAAATATTCAAAGCATCACCCTGGAGGGTGTAGGTAGGGTGGCATGGATGGAGATAAGTTTCAGCTGTAATATCTGTCAGGAGAAGTAAGCCCCCAGAGAAGACAGTGAGTGTGAAGGAAGGTATAAAAATTGAGGATTTAACAGAAGAAGAGGCAAGATGTTCTGACTGAGGAGGATTTAACAGAAGAAGAAGAGGCAAGATGTTCTGACTGATTCACCTTGGAGTCCCCTGAAAGGAGCAGTTGAAAAAGAAGAAGCTCTTGGCATACAGTACACTTCCAGGGATTGCATAATAATTATTATGTGCCTGAGCTGCATGCAGTGCAGTGTGTTAATTTAACAGTTGTCAAATTGTCCTACCTCACCTGCAATGCACTAACAATTAAAGACATTTTTTTTCTTTGTTTGGATGAATTAAAGAACCTACACACTGTCCAGACAACCACGTTGATCTTTTGACCTTCACAAAGAGGTTCTGTAGTTTGTGTTTATGTTGCACAAATCTCAGCTATGTAAGTCTTCTGTAATGTTGGTTTCTTTGGTGAATATGGATTTAGAAACCAATATGTCACACACATTTAACACCAGGAGACCTGATTGAACAATGATGGCAATGGTGAGTTGTCATAAAGAGGCAACAGAGTCAGCAGTTTAGCAGATCTGGAGGAGGAAGTGGGCTGATTTGGACACACCCTAGAAACCAGTGGACTGCATCATGGTCAGGCCGTGATTTCCAAACCACAAGGGAAAAGAGAAGCGGGGGGATGACACTGGGGCAGTCACAGAGGAGACATTGTGGAAGAAATGCAGAAGCCGCCGGAGTGAGGCAGTGAAGAGAGGCCATAGTGAAGTCGACTGGTGTGTCAATTTTAATGGCCTCTGTAAGTAAAAGCAGATGACCTGGTGACCCCCACAGTACAGTGTTGTTACCATCAATACTACCGTCCATACTTTATTTTCCTTTCCTGGCACCTATTAGGTTGGTTTCACTGTTTCATTTATTTTATATATATATATATATTTGTTACAAATGTCTTTTTTCATCGATGATGATAACATCTGTACTCCTCCCACACTGAGGACATTTTCATGTTACAGCAGCTGAGATTTAGGAATAAAAAAGAAAGAAACAGCATATTAGCGTATGTTAATAAGAATAAACTCAAAAAATCTACACAATTCTAAAATGCACTGTTATTAAAATTGTAAAACCAAAATTGTGAACCACTTGATTTGAATAATACTGTAAAATTCCGGGATAATGAAAAAAAAAATGCACACCATACATTTTGAGTGCGTATACATTGAAAATTAAATATTTTATATTTATATCAAAAAGGAAATGGAACCTGATGGTTTCACCCAAATTTAAAACAATGTACTTTTGTCCATGAATACAGGTGTTCGTGGTGCGGTGCCTTTCATTATACTGAACAAACTGTCAGGTGACGTGTTAATGAATAAACTTTGTGTACATTTAAAAAAAAACAACAACAGGTGCACGCGATGACTGTCCACAGTACTGGCGGCCTCCAAAAGTTATGTTAAGTTAAATGTTCCCTACTCTGACCGTAATAACATCACTATATAACATGGAAATAAATAAATAAAAACAGAGACAATGATAAATTGGGACAGAAAACTATAACGGCGTAAAACCAACTCCCATTCAAACAGCTGTGGTGGCGGAAGAATATCTTTCCCTGCATCCATGAAGCGCTGCGGCTACAACTGGAAAGAAGAGACATCAGAGAAATAGTGCACAACAACCCTAATATGCTGCGTTTAACTAAAATAATTATCTGAAAATCTTAGTTTGAAACATTATCAAGCGAGCCATCTTCTAGCTGGATTCATTGATTATCCCAGCCCACTGAGTTCGGAGAGAGGAGGCGGAGGAGGATGTGCACTAACTCCCGACGCGCAGTGACATTGCAAGTGAGTGCGCTGTGTGCAGGGCCATCTTTGGTCGTCCTCGCCGGTGACAGTGTGGACACTTTATTCCAGTGGACATTAGTGTTGAGTAATTATTAAACAAAATCCAGCTTAGAACAAGCTCGTTTGAAGAAACACTCGGCCAGAGAAAGGGAGTGAACATCCCGCTACGTGGAGTCACTGTCTTCCTTTGCTCCAACACCCTTCATTTCTGCAGGCATAAAGAGGGCGAGAAAGGGAGAGGCGCTGCTCATACAACATGGATGAGGAATACGATGTGATCGTTCTGGGCACCGGACTCACAGTAAGTAGAGAATATCCGTTGTATTCACACACACAAAAACATGGGGAATAGTTGTAAATGACAGACATTGTGAGATAGGTCTGTAAAGCCAGCAGTGAAAACCTCCTCCTTCTTCTCCTCCTCCTCCTCCTCCCGCTGCTGCTCCTCTGTGTGCTTCTGACATGACACTAAATTTTGCAAATGAAAGATGCGCTTCCTGTACCCGAATTATGTTCGCATAACAGGTAGAAAAATGTGTGTCTCGTGGGTTTGGGTCTTTATTAAAATAGGATTTTAATTCCCTGGAGTCGGCTCAGTGTTGTGTACCAGACCGAGCATCTTTTAGGCGTAACCCCTGTGTGTGTCACGGTCCTCCCCACAGAGAAAGGCCTTCATCCTGAGGCTGGCGCAGGCCTGAGCTGAGAGCCGCAGCTCCACACTGTCCGCACACACCCAGAAACAACGCTGCCGTCCCCGACACACTTCTTAATATCCTCAGAACTTAATACACATTTATGAAGTTTTCTAACGCGATATCAACACTTTGTCAACATACGGATTTCCATAATGATGTTATTCCCAAATAAAGATAATAAATAATAACTAACGACACCCTTGTTCATATTGATTCTTATTACTATTATATCGTTAGGGATGTAATTTAATACATGAAGGGATGGTGATGCTTCTGCACATGCGCATTGCATTATTTCAAACCACCCTGCAGCCTTCTGTCAAAAACGTCCTAACTTGAATCCACACACACGTACACACTCACTCTCAATGATTCTGAATAACATTTTAACACTAACTCAGATGTATTAGTGTTTTTTTTTTGTGTGTGTGTGAATTTTTCTACACATTCTTGACTTGTAAGATGACTGTGCATCTTATTTATTTTACGCTGCTTTAACCTGTGCCAGTGCAGTTGTGGCCTGTACATGTAACCGTGTAGTAAACCTGTGAAAGGTTAAATGTTTTTAACCACATTTTTGTTAACAATCAAACATCTTTTTTTACGTTTGTCAAACGGTTACTACACAGTCATTCACCAACACCCACGCTTGCAGCTTTAATGCAGATAGAATTATCCTGGGCGAAAGGTAATCTCCACTCACTCTCTGAGACATTAAATGTCTGACTGGACAAACTTAAGATTCACTTTTGATTTTAAATTAGCTGTAGGGATTTAATTACACCGTGGTAATGTAAGGTGGCCTATAATTTTATTGCACTTTCCAGTCCTAATGACCACTCTCAGTGGTAAATACTACGATTTGGCCACTTTCACAGCACACTCTACACTGTACTGTACACACAGCAGCTTTACTGTCACAAATGATTTACAGTACACCTCATTGGAGCAATTTAGACCTGGGAGACACATTGGTGCATAGACTAGTAGAGTTAGGAATTGTACCCACAGCCTTTCACCTTCAAGACGGCTGGTGATATCGGCTGTTCGTTTTTTTTTTTTCTTTTTTTGTTAAAACGCTCCAGTTTATCAGATGGTTCAGAGTGGCTGTGATGACATCACTTTATCAATCAGACTACACCCAGTGAAGTTCTGCTCCCCTTTTACAGGATGTCTCCTGTAGACGTTGCTGTATGATGTAGTAGTACTGACATATTAGGACTTGACCAGGCCTGCTGCCCAGTTTGGCTGCTGAAGCACTACTGTTACCGTGGATGTGCCTTGGGAGGGCTGGCGGGGGGTTGCGGGGGCGGGTACTGACACTCACTGGTCTTATGTTTCCAGACGAGTCCTGTTCTCAAAAACAGAAGTGGAAAGACAAACACAGAATTGTAGACCACGGTGTTACTTATCTTCTGTTATTGTTTTCAGAGATAATTAGCAGCAGTAGCAGCATTAGCCCCCCCCCACACACCCCCTCATTGTGCTCTGGGGGTCACTCCTGGGTCGCTGTGGCTCCTGCACATTACACATTACACTTCTAGTAGTTATTAGACGGGTCAGGTTATGTGTAGTAACATTAGGGTGCAGAGAAAGATAGGGTTTGCGGCCCTAAGAAGTCACAAGGGCGAAGCCATTATTTTAATTACTGACCTTTTCTGAAAACCATACATTTAACCAATTTGAATCTATGATTTGTACATGCTTTGTCCTCAGTTTCATTTTTACTGCATTATTACCTCATACTAGTTAATAGCACAATTGATGACTTCTGACAAAATTTGACATCATACACACAAATATAAAATATTGCAGTTTCCCAATTAAAATTGAAGTAAATTGTATTTTCATCAAAGCCCTACGGTTGAGATCTTTATGAAATGAATATAATAAATAATAATATCACATGGTGTCTTGACACATTTTCAATTATTTTTTTTCTATAACTGATGATATCATTTTGTAATAAATCTTGTTTCACACAGGAATGCATTCTGTCTGGAATCATGTCTGTGAATGGGAAAAAGGTCCTGCATATGGACAGAAACCCCTACTATGGTGGTGAGAGCTCTTCCATCACCCCGCTGGAGGAGGTAAGGGCTCCTGGGATCTATAAACCAATCAATAACATTTTATGTCCTGCACTACGTCTCATTTTACATCCAGTGCCATCAGCTTCCTTTTTACTGTCTTCATTTATTTTTTATTTCTTCTGCAAAAGCTCCAGACTCTGGAAGCTTCACAAATGTCAGTCTCACAGGATGTTTCTTTTACCAACAGCTGTACAAGCGCTTCAACCTCCCAGATAGTCAGCCTGAGTCCATGGGCAGAGGAAGAGACTGGAACGTCGACCTCATTCCGAAGTTTCTCATGGCCAACGGTCAGTCACATATGCCTTTGTTAAAGCAGCATGAAAACCTAACGACTGTGGAGCAGTTATAGTTATATATAAACACCATCCATAATAACTGATAAGGCTCATAAAATCAAACAGTCATCCTGCAACAAAAGCACAACTTAAGTTGCAGATGCAAGTCATCCCTCTCTAAATCAAGTGGAACAAATCCAATATGATAATCGTTAGTTCCAGTTACATAAAGCAAACACACAGGCAACTTGTGTCTCCTTGTGCACAATACCATCTCTTGTCACAAATCTGCAATTCTTTGAGGGTTTATTCTGGGACGTGACACTCACTGCTGACAGCTACAACAACCAACACTAACCATTTTCCCAGCTTCAAACAATAACTTAAGCAAAGCTCCAAAGCCAGCTCTCAATAGAGGCCACACAGGCAGTCGTGTGGGGCGCCACCTGCTGGGAAGAAGCCCAACTGCAACCCCCCCTTACAAAACAAAAAATCAATATTCAATAATGATAATTTACAGCTTTGACTGGCACCGTTTCCTATAAAGTACAAAACTATCAATGATTGAATTGACTGGCAAAGTTTCCTATAAAGTACAAAACTATCAATAAAAAAAGAAACCTTTAAAGTCAAACCATAATTTTGCCCTGGTGTACAAACTTAAAATCTATACCTCTAAACTACAGTATTTACAGTCAACATCTTTTGGTCAAAATCTCAATCTCAAATGTGACTCACTTTAAATATGTCTCTCCGTGTTAAACCCAAATTATATCGTTGACAGTATTTTAAATGAGGAAGTGACTGTGTTTGTGTGATTGCAGGTCAGCTGGTGAAGATGCTGCTCTACACAGAAGTGACACGGTACCTGGACTTCAAAGTCGTGGAGGGAAGTTTTGTCTACAAGGGAGGAAAGATCTACAAGGTGCCGTCAACTGAGACTGAGGCGCTAGGTTCAAGTAAGTTACCAAAGCTAATCCTCATCAAGTTTTGTCAGCAAATAAAAGACAATTAGAATGTTACAATATATACTGATTCTGTCAGAATTGTTTTTTGAAACGCCCGGTTCATTTTTCCAGATCTGATGGGGATGTTTGAAAAGCGAAGGTTCCGTAAATTTTTAGTCTTCGTGGCCAATTTTGACGAGAACGACCCCAAGACCTTTGAAGGCGTGGACCCTAAAACTACAACCATGAGGGATGTTTACAAGAAGTTTGACCTGGGCCAGGATGTCATTGATTTCACTGGCCACGCCCTGGCCCTCTACAGGACAGATGAGTAAGAACAGTTTTAAGTTTTACCCATAACCAACTTTTTAAAAACTTGAAGTAATAAACGATTCTCCAGGAGGTTCTTCACCAGCTTGTGACTGTTATAACAAAAACATATATATTTTTTAAATTATTTCTCCTCTCCTCTGTTAGCTACCTTGATGTTCCCTGTCTGGATACCATCAACCGCATTAAGCTCTACAGTGAATCACTAGCACGATATGGGAAGAGCCCCTACCTCTACCCTCTGTATGGTCTGGGCGAGCTGCCCCAGGGCTTTGCCAGGTATTTTCACTTCACTTTTATTTATATATTTTAGTCCTGAACAGAAAAACCTAAAACACACCGATATATTTTCCTGAACAGAAAAATTTAAAACACACCACCACTCTACGGGGTTCAACACACGGACACTTGCCCTTTTTTTAATAGATTGAGTGCTATCTATGGAGGAACGTACATGCTGAACAAACCAGTGGATGAGATAGTAGTGGAAGGAGGAAAAGTGGTCGGTGTGAAATCTGAGGGCGAGGTACAGTCGTGTTCTGTTTTTGTCTCTATCGTAATGACTTTACAACGTCAAAACAGACAGAGCGTGAATTTACTTCATTCATTCTCCCCTTCGTGCTGCAGGTGGCGCGTTGTAAGCAGCTCATCTGTGACCCCAGCTACATCCCAGACCGTGTCCGTAAAGCAGGTCAGGTGATCCGTGTGATCTGCATCCTCAGCCACCCAATCAAAAACACTAATGACGCCAACTCCTGCCAGATCATCATTCCTCAGAACCAGGTCAACCGCAACTCAGGTGAGGGACACGGGGGCATCTGTGCAACGGGGAAGGGGGAGGGAGTGGATGGGGGATGTGAAGATTGAGAATACCATATATGAAATACAATTTGGGATGCAGTACCACTGGTAGCCAGCAGGGGTTGTCTCCACAGAAACAAAACCGCCATAGAACCAATTTAAAATTGAAGCTTTCTCAGTAAAACCTCAGTAATTCTGGTCCAATAATTATAGAAAATAAATATATATAATGTGACAATATGAATTTATTAAAAAAAGATTTGACTGTCACTGTGAAAATTTTAATAAAAATATACATATATATATTTAGATCTAGGATTAAACATTGAGATTGTAGTCCTGGATGTGTAGTTGTAGCTGGTGGTTAACATCACTACAGGCGTGTTTCTGGTTCGTTGTCAAAGAAATATTAAATTAATTTGTAATTTGACCCCGTGCTCCCATTAACCCTCTGTCACCCCTGCAGACATCTATGTGTGCATGATCTCCTATGCTCACAATGTGGCCGCCCAGGGCAAGTACATCGCCATTGTCAGCACCACAGTGGAAACCAGTGAACCTGAGACTGAGATCGAACCAGCTCTGGAGCTGCTGGAGCCCATCGACCAAAAGTCAGTCACACGTCCACTGCAGATTTTATCAGTTAATATTTAATCTTTTAGAAATCATTAAATTCTTAAACTATGCACAATGAGTTAATGTTTTTTTTTTTATCCTGTTCAGGTTTGTGGCTATCAGTGATCTTTATGAGCCCACAGACGATGGAACTGAAAGTCAGGTGAGAATTTAATCATAGTGATGGAAAAACTACCATTTACCCCCCGACCCCCACTCACACACATACACATCAGTTAGCTGCAGCAATTGCACTTAATCTACTCGTTATTTTCTTTGAATTAATCTGAAAAATAATATAAAAATAACATTACCAACGTTTTAAAAGAATCTATAACAATATAGAAATTTGGAAATAGCACCAATAACATAAAAGTACATGTTTTAATATATAAATTATAAGTATAGTAATTATTACTGATGTGTTTTTTTTAATTTATTTTATTTTTAGACATTTGCTGCCCTTTTTAGTCCTCGTCTCCTCTCCATGTTTTTGTGACGATCCTGGGGTCATGTGTGTCACAATGAGTGTCTGTGTGGAGCTCAAGAGCAGAACTAATGTTCAGCCTTGGTGAAATTAATGAAATGAAGCTCTGATTCAGGAAAATTGTAATTGAATGTTTTTTTTAAATAATTGATTCGATAAATTCAGTTCGGCTCCACGATCGATTTCACATGAATGTTTAGTGCCACATGGTGGAAGAATTGGTTATTGTTGTTGCCTTAAAACAAAGAAATCAGTGGTTTAGTTGTTCAGTGTCTCAATCCCTGGTCTCCCTCTACTGAATTGCCATTGATCCAAACCCCTGCGTCTCATCTGTCTCTCAGGTCTTTGCCTCGAGGTCCTACGATGCCACCACTCACTTCGAGACCACTTGCAACGACATCAAGGATATCTACAAACGTATGACGGGCAGCGACTTTGACTTTGAGAACATGAAGCGCAAACAGAACGACGTGTTCGGGGAGGATGAGCAGTGAGCTGTAGCAGGGCTCCTGGAAGGAGACCGGGGGGAAAGGGGCAACACAGGGGGTGGGGTCCGGGTTAGAGGAGAAGTCTGTTTGAGCAGTGCTTTAAAAACAAACGTTGGCGGGTGGGTGGGGTTAAAGTGGTGGGGGTGCGTTGCGAGCTGGTTGCCTCCTTTTCCCTGCGTTTCTCTCTCTTTAAAACACGACACTGCTCACACACACACACACACACACACACACTCTGTATCTCTGTCACTGTAAAGCAGGGTTGATGCGGTCTTTCATTCCATTGTAGACTTCACAGTATAACCATGTCTTAACTATTATCATTAGAAGTGAATTTATTACATTTTCCAAGCGTTTCTTACTTTCTGTCTCCACTTTCTCCTCACATAAGCAGCTGCGGCGGAGAGAAGGCGCGACTTCCCGGCTCATTGTAGAATCCTCCAGTCGACATGCATGCATCTTTTACACCGTAGTATTGTACATAGACTCCAAACACTGCGATTCGAAGGCTGGACCATTCCAAGCATCGCTCCCTGTCAACCCTGCTTTCACTTTTCTCTTTCTTGGTCTTTTTCTTGTGTTACTTCAATAGACGCCGCTCCTTTTGGTAAAAATCTGTCGGTCAGGCAAACACATAGAAGAAAAAAACAAAAACAAAAAACAACTAAAAAAAGAAATGAAAAAGTTCAATATAAATGGGCTGTTCTGTCAAATGATAGTGCTCACTTTGCAAATGCTGTTGTGTTCCCTGTGCTATAGCAGGCAAGCTAACCAGTGGCTATTAACTTTGAACTCTTCCTTTCCCTTTGTTCGTGTCGTTTTTATGTCAGTTTTGAATTTTAAAAAGTTTACTTTTAACATCTTAAATTATTGAAGAGATTTATTTCTATAATATTTGGTGCACATTTCACTGGCTGAAGTTATGACGTTTACAGAGCTGAGGTCGAAATTCTGTTTCGGAAGTGGAACATTTAAAAAAAAAGAAGAAAAAAAAGGGAACAGCGGAGGCTAAAAGGTCATGGGGAGGATCAGCCCGGTCGTCTGAGGGTTTCCATATATGATGAAGTATTGTTTGACGATGTGATGGATGTGGACCACGGGTGGGAGAAAGGATGTTTGTGAAGAGAGATTTTAATTGGACGTCTGCAGAGTTGAAAAGAGGGAGACTGAAATTTCAGCTCGTGTTTGTAGTTAAAAGCACCAGACTGTTTCTAGGTTGTTTCAACCCTCACGTCAGTCCCAGAGACCAGTCGTTCCCATGAGTAGCTGTAGTTGTTGATTAGATGCTGATAGGATAGGATTCTCAAAGCCACGCTTATTAGTGCTGTTCATGAATGAACCATGGTGCGCTGATTGGATCGAAGCCTGTGTCCAGTTTAAATGAAACAATGGCTTTGATTAAAGGATCAGTTTGTGGTCGCTCAGTCTTGAGCCTAACATGGTAGAAGTAAAAGCTTCCGATTGATGACGTTAGAGATGTGGCTCATCAGTACTAAAAACAGTTCCATCCCTCGTCATCCTCCTCGCTCAGTCCCCTAACCAACCCAAACCGAGTCGATGTTTTAAAGCGGATCTTAGTCTTATTGTTATCTTATTTATTTGGAATTCCACTGATGTAAATGTGTTTTGTCAAATGCACATGCTTTGCTGTCAGTCTAATGAAGTAATCAACTTTAAAGACAATGCACACCATCATTCTGTTTCTGGGTTGTTTCTTTTTGTTTTTGTTGCTGTGTCACTGTGTTTATGTTTACCTTAATAACTGATCATTCCAGTGAGGCGTTTCACCGTGATTACGAGCATTAATCAGAAACCTGTTCAGTTTGCTGTAAACATGGTTTCAAACTGCTCCTCTCTGTCCCTGGATTAAAAACTGGAATAATGTTTACTCTTTTTTTTTTGAAGCCCTCCTTTCTCTGCCCTTACTGCACATCAAATACTCGACTCTTACTCTCTCTTTTTTATTTATTGAAAACAAAAAGCCTCATGTGTGATTGTACCGTTTTGATTTTCATCAAATTCGGCCGCTGAAAATCACGATTTGACAATATCCCTGGAATTCGGCAAGATGAATCGTTCAGGCTGAGTAGTAGAAAACTTACTGTCCTTGTGTGATCACTAGTATGTGAACAATGCCTAATGTCTTGTGTAACATATAAAATAAAATTAAACTACGAATGAAATGATAGAAAAATAAAAAAAAAAAAGCACATGGCAAACGTGAAAAATTTGCAGTTGTGGGTTCTTTTTTGTTTCTTTGTTAAACAGTAACCAGATCAGGACGAGACGAGGATTAAAATATAATGTGATTTCCTTCAACTGTTCCCCAAATAATCATTCGATTTATATCTTACTTTACACAACTGAGAAATCACTTCACACAACCCGATTGTTGACATTAGGAGGTCCAAGAAAAGTTTTTTTTAAAAATAAAAATAAACCTCAACCAAGTCTTATTTGTTGGATATATTAGGTTGATACATTTACAGAAGGCACATCACTGGTTTGTGCGAATAACCGCGCAGGTTTTGACCTTGCTCTGACCCTGGGAAGTTTTACGTCTGTGAAATAAGTTTCTACCTGAATGCAACAAATTGTTTCTTAAATTGTAAAGATCTCTGGTTTTAGAAAAAAAAAAGTAAACACTTGAAAATACTTTAAGGTGACTCACATCTTCTGACCTTTTAAAAAGTAAACACTTTAAGGTGACTCACATCTTCTGACCAGGCTAATGATGTTATATGGACAAAATCTAAACATACAAATACAAACTAGTTTTTTTTAAACATTCGTAGCCAAAATAAATATAATGATAATGTTTAAACTATTTATTCTGAGATCTCTGTTTAATAATCATTAAATATCCAAACAGTCCGCTTATAATCGCTGAGGTTAAGAACAGATCTGATGTGTGAGGCTCAAAGTGCTGCAGCACAAAGTGACATTTTGTTGTTGCCATGCCATCAGCAGAACATCATGTCTCTGTCATAGATGCACAACACAGAGCTGCACTCACATTAAAATTCAGGCGAATGTACAAAGAACGGTTTAGTCCTTCATTATGGTTTTTGAAGGTGGAACGTTTGTGGCGTCTCCTCCACTCGCTCAGTCCCTGTTTTGTAACCACACCTGCTTTTCACAGCAGCCTACACGGCTCAAAGACAGTGGCAGCTCGTCCTTTGTTCAGTAACCCTGCCACGATAACTGCTGCTGGTGACTAAGAGGCGCTGAGGTGGAGCTGACTCAGCTAGAATTACACATGATCAACCACGTAGCTCTTGTACGGATGACCCAGAAGTCTCTGCACCTCTGCCTTCGGCACCACCCAGCATTTGCCCACGTGACGTCTCTGCACCGTGTCTTTTAGTGTCTTGTCTTGCAAAGTGACTGACATGTGCTCTGACCCCCACCTCAGTGTACCTCTGGCTAGAAGTCCATCCTTACTGGGTCGGGGAGCTCCTCTGTCCATGTGGTTCTTCAGCACTGTTACGTCCATGTCTGCGTTTTGAAACTGACCTGAGGACAGAAAAAGGAAACCAGTCTATGTCTTCATTTACATCGGAATTTAATAGTTTTTCAAAAATGTATTTTTGTTTTAGCACTTGTTTAAAATTCATTTCATTTTTAATTACAGCAAAAAAGTGTCTAACAGGCAGAACAATTAAATACTCTTCCACTAGGTGACAGCAGAGGGCAGTAAAAACAAACAAAAAAAAGCTGTTGAAGAAGATCTTCAAGTGTTTTTCTTCAATTCCTTAGAGGATGTCAATGTTGTATTCAACTAAACAGGTAAACTGTGAGTAAATTAATCCAACCCAACATTTTTAATGTTTCTTCCCGCACTGAAGGACTTACCTAAAAGTCCTTGGGTTGAAGTGGACAGACCTTGTCCATCAGTGATGTAAAAACCCAGGTGAGCCTTCTGGAGGTAACTGGGGTGTTTATAGTGGTGGAACAGTACCAGGAACCGTATGTGTTTGGCCAACTGGATCCAGCAGTTTTTATGGTTGTCCACAGCTACTGTCACACCTTGTCTCGTCACTGACCCCTGCTGATTGATGGGAAGAACATCCCGCCCTTCACCTTCTAGCACAACAGTGTCCAGTGAAATGGTGATCATGATTCCAGCAGACCCTGCCCTGGCTGTGGAGATGGTGAGCTGGTCAAAGTAGGTTCTGGGGCGGTCCTCGGCTCCATGGTTAGAGGGAGCTCCTATCAGGTGTCCATCTACAATGATTCCTGAAGGAGGAAAAAAACAGACGCACAGGTTGGATTATCCTGCCTTAAAGTAAGGCACCTGAAGAAAACATCTGAAAAATAAAAGTCAGAGCATCAGGCACCTTTCTCTGAGTCCTCTAAAAGTCTGAGAACATCATTGGCTCTGCCGTCTACTGTGAAACACAGACTCTGATGCATCTTCGGCAGCTGGACCACAAAATGAGGATCTCCATCGACTACAATGAACAACAAAATTAATGCAACTGGTAGTGATATGATAAAAACAAATATAGAGCTCATGATCCTGACCTGATGAGAAGACCCTGACGGTACTGTGTACGGACGGAGACTCTAAAATGACAAGACATTTAAACGAACGACTGTCCTTTAATATATATATATATACAGTATATATATTGGAGACACGAGAGAATCTAGGCACATTTTTGTTATAATTCACACAATGATGATGAAAATTCTAACAGAGCTTTTATTTCATTTTAATTTATGTGTGAAAATTCTGACATAGCTTTTATTTCATTTTAATTTATGTGTCAGTGAAATGGTTCATGTTGGTGTCCATGGCTGCAGATGTCTGCTCCAGACCTGCAGTGTGAACTCTTTTTATGACATGCATTTGTAGAAACAGTCACTGTACTCTTCAAACTCCTTTTATGATATGCATTTGTAGAAACAGTCACTGTACTCACCAAACGATCCTGTATCAGGGCTATCGTCCCCTACAAACATCAGAAATATATACGTATATTATAAGGACTGTATATGAAAGACAACATTTATAGAAAGAAAGAAATATTTCCATATTCGAGGAACATTTAAAGCTCACAGGTATCATAGTTGAGGTCATAGTCATAGTCATAGGTGGCGTCATAGTCTGGGAAAAACAAAAAGAGAATTGATGAAGATGAATTAACAACTGTGCTTTTTAACAAGGTGTGTAAATATTGAAGAGTCGGACTCACCTTTCACAAGGTCAATATCTAATAAAAAGAGACCACAAATACTTTCACTACATTTTTTAAAATTATTTGTTCAATGCCAGGTTAATGCCAACCAAATCCTAGAGGATAAAAACCATTCAATTCAGTTAAACTGTACCTTTTCTCTGAAACTGAATAGAAGTAGAGACATCTGGTGGAGGAATTAAAAACATCCAGTTAGTGATACTTACAAAATGTGTGGAATTCTTTTCGACTTCCAGCATCTCAGTGCACAGGAATGCTGTGTTTGTGACAAACTTACCCAGAAGCCCCGCTGCCTCCCATAATCGAGGCCCATCTGTAGCACCAGGCATGGGAGCAAAGGTCGCTGACACCAGTGTGGCGATGTTGACGTCTGAGTCAACAGCAGCATTAGTGTTGTTGTTGTCTTCCACAGAAGAGAATGGAGGAGGAGGAGGAGGAGGAGACTGTTCAGACAGAGAGGTGTTGGTTCCAGACTGATGAACGTCGGGAGCAGACGTGCTGCTGACATCGGCCTCCGTGGAGGTCGCTGTCGACAGTGTGCTGAGCTGTGGGGTAAAATATCTGCTGAGTAAGGGAGCAGTGTTGTTTTTGACTGAAGTGAACGGAGGCGTGGTGGTAATTGTCGTTGAAGGACTGGTCGTCTTTACTGCACTGGACTGAGAGCTGGAGAGTTTTCCAGGTCCAGGTGGTGATGCAGTTTTAAGGACATTAAGCAGGGAGGAGGAGATCTTTCCAGCAGGAAGAACAGGCGGAGAAAGACTTTTTGAACTATTTCGGGGCGGATTATATTTTCTGCTGGATAATGGAGCTGGAGCAGTTCTGCTGGAGCTGGGACTTGAGGTTGTGGTTTTCCTGGCAGGTGTCTTTGCTGTGGAGGTTGGTGGAGAGCTCTTTTTAATCTGTGGTGGATTTGGAGGTGGCTGAGGAGTCTCTGGTTTCGTTTTGGTCGGTCTAGACTTTGAAGCTGCACTGTGCTTTCTCACAGCTGCATCAGCTGATATTTTTGGTGTAGTGGTTGTTACTGTTGGGGTTGTAGTGGCTGTTGTTGTTGGTTTTGGAGTGGTTGGAGTGGGAGCAGCTTCATCTGCATCTGGCTTGACTACAACTAAAGAGGTGAACGGTGTTACAAAGTTATATTTAATGGAAAGATTTGTAGCTTTCTCTGCCAGTAACCTCTGTGCTGAAAGGTCAGTAGTGTTCAGTTTGGCCAGCAGCAGCTCTTTGATGGTGTAATAAGCCCAAAGGCGATGCACAAAACTGGATACACCTTCTGGAGAAGCAGAACAGTTTGGTAAAGCTGTGCTCTCATTACGCTCTGCCTCAGAGACCAACACATCGTTCTCCAACTTTACACGTTGCTTGGAATCAGTGGCGAACAACGACACCTTCAAATCCTTGACCCCTGGTTTGACTCTTCCGGCAACAACAAGCTCGGAGCCTTGGAAGTAGTTTGGGAACAATGAGATGGTAATATCGAAGGCTTGTTCGTCCAGGTAGGAAAGTTGGATGTCTGAAAGCAGAGGGCTAGCGACTTCATCGTAGAAACCCTTCAGCTGCAGAGCTGCGTCTGCCTCCTCGTACACCATTCTGGCTACACCTCGGTTGTTGAGAGCCAAGCGTCTCAGAAGGAGGAAGTCTGCATCATCGCCAAAGGCAAGACCAAACAGAGAGGCCGAGCCCAAGGCCTTCCTGGCGTTACTGAGGATGGTGTCACCGGCAGTTACTCCAATGGTAGCTTCTCCATCAGTGAGGAAAATCACCAGGGGAACACGGCGAGATGATTGTTGGCCACGTGAATCCAGAGGCGGAGGATTGACGAGTTGAGCAGCAGAAAGGAGAGCCGCGTTGATGTTGGTCCCTAAGAGAGAAAGTGGCCACAATGGGGGAGGGTTGACTGTACAGGATGAAAGCCAAAGAAAGGACCAGAAAAAAACTGTTCATTTTACTCACATCCTTCAGCGATGATCCTCTTCACAAAATCCTTGGCATCTCTCACATTCTGCCGAGTGGCTCGCACCGTTCGACCTTTCTTCCAAGTTTGGACCTTGTCTGAGAAGGTTATGATGTTGAAGTGGTCGCCCTCCCTCAGGTCTGTCAGGATGGTGCTCATGGCCTGTTTGGTCTGCAGAGAAAAATGATTAGAATTAAGTCATTTCCTCTTTACAGAAGTGTAAATCAACATTGTTTTTAAAATGTGTTTGTCAAAGTGACCTGTTTGATCTTGGTTCCAATCATGGAGCCACTGACATCAATGACAAAAATGACATCCTTAGGAACCACAGGAAGCCCTCTGGGTGCAAAATAATGTGCAAAATACCCATCATGCACCTGAGAAAGAGTAAGAAGGAAAAAAGGGGGTCAAAGAGGTTTATTAATTTATTTGATGAAATACCTAATGAAATGCAATAATCTATAATAGAAGCTCCGCCCACCTGGACATCACCTAAGAGGTCTCGCAGGTCCACATCATACTGGATGACAAAGTCTGCATCCAGGCCCTTGGCAGAGATGCTGTTCTGCTGCTGCATAGTGGGATTGTAGCGAACTCGAGCGCAGCTGCTTCGCTGCTCAACATGAGTGGAGGCCGGAGCGTCAGCATCACCTGAAGTCAGAGAGTGGTTTTGACAGTGAAAGAAGGTTGGTTTAATTATCTGGTTGTCAATTCTCTAATGTGAGATCTGCTATAATGTAATGCAACCCCCATTGTTCTTCTGAAGCTTCAATACTTATATATATAATAATATATATATACACACGGGTCTTACCTTTCCCAGTGTTTGACAGCAGTCGGCTGGTCCTCAGTGGCAGAACTTTGATGAAGTTGATGCCTGTTCGCTCTGCTATACTGACATCTACAGTCAGGTTCTCCACAGGTTGTCCAGGCCTCAGACCCAGACTGAGTTCATATCGGCCCAGACGCCGAGGTAAGAGTTCTTCATAGGTCAGACAGAAGGAGACATGGGCACCTGAGGGCACGCTCACCGCCACACGGAACTTCTCGATCTCCCTTTCTCTGCGGAGACAATCAGATGACGCACATTTTCAGATTAAACACATCACAATGACTTGTTTTATTGCTGCTTATGGATTTGAACAATCCGACAGACTGACTTGGTGGCAACGAGTCCAGCGGTTTTTCCCTGCTTTTTAGCAGCGTCGTATATTTTCCTGGCAGCAGCTCTTTCCTTCACCTGGGCCACGTACACCTTGTCGTTAGAGGTGCTGATGGGAAAAAGGAAGAAGAAACAGCTTTCTGTAAGAGTGACAGACATTATATTTCAGTCACAAACATGGCGACTTGTTGAGAATGGTAGCTTTTTTTTTACTCTCTGCATTTCCACAGTTTTAACAAAACTGCATACAAACAGCTATTGTGCGTGTGTGTGAGTGTGTGTGTGTGTGTGCAGATGAAGTGAAGGGGAGGTGGGTCATTAGGGGGTTGCGTGGAAAAAAGTAATTTCCCTCCAAAAACAGCACTAATGAAGCGCGATTTTGCACGCTGTCGACGTCGCACGGAAGCGGACGTCTGTGTTACACCCACCAAAATCCTAACTCAATTCACTGCTTCAAACGGCATCCAACTCAAACAGTGCACGTCCTAGACTTTGGTAACCGCTGATGTCATGTGACGAGGTGCTAAATTAAGGTCAAGTCCGTTCAACAAATATATCCAAAGAGAAAAAAAAATCCCACCGCAGGCTAACCTAAATAAACCCGCAGACTTGAAGTCGGCTCTTGTTTGAGATGCAGCAGAATGGCATGAGAGAGAGCGCGTGTGGAAAATGGAGGCACTTGTGTTTACATGTGTGGCTGGCTGAGGGGGTAAAGGAGCGCGGTGCATCGGTGACCCACACACAGAACACAGAGTTCTTAGTTTCATGCACAGATATGCCAAAGAACTTTTTTTTCCTCTGGGCATTTGGTGATGCACAGGCGGGTGAAAATGTATGTGTATGCGTGACACATGGGGCTGTGACAGATTATGGCTGTAAGAAGTTGTACACCTTCCAGACTCACATATACCTGAAATGTTTATTTCCACCTCCGTGTGCATACAGTAGATGCAGGTGTGTATGTATGTATTCATTATTGTTGCCTTCTTAGCACCATTTTTGGAAGTGCTACGGAATTCCCGATGATCAGAAACCAAAGCCAGGTTCTAATAAGGCAGAACTTTATTTCTGTGGTTCTGGTCAAAGTAAAATGAAGATGAAAATGTAATTATGGGTGAGTTAGAATTAGAACTAATGTTCATTATAGAAATAAAGTTCTGCTCTGGCTGTACTCTTGACTTAAAGTTAATGTTAATGGAAATAATAATAGCTGCACAGTTAAGTGTGTATGTTTTCCTGGTATACCTATACTTGTGGGGACACTAATTAGGGACCAAAAAAAATAATTTGGGGACAGTGTCCTTGTGAGGACATTTTGCAGGGCCCTCTGGGTGAGGGAATATTTTGAGCTTTAAAATTTAGTTTCTAGTTAGGATTACATGCAGGGTCAGATTACAGTTAGGGTAAAGATTAGGATTAAGGGGTTGGTTGTAATAGTTGAAATTGGGGTTAGAGACTAGGTAATGCATGACGTGTATGTGGAGCGCTCAAAAAATTCAAAAACAGTGTGTGTGCGTGTGCGTGATATCTAAACTGGCACGGTGCCATTGTAAACTGTGGTCAGGGGAAAAAGAAGACTTGGCAAACTCCTGTGATTTTCTCTAATAAATTTCAAACTTTCTAGTTACAAAGATGGATATTCATCTGCGCTCGGGTTCCTCCTTCATCTGACCTGCTTCCGCTCCCAAATCCAGCTCCATGGTTGCTGTTTGGTTTCGCAATGTTGACTTATTTGTTTTATTTATATTTAGCTTTCTAGATGGGGGAAAAGAGGAGGGAGGCTGGTTCCTAAAAGTCTTTCATCAACTCAGGACTTAGGTCCTGTTTCCTTACATAATCCCTCTGAAGTTTATAGCTGCAGTCACATTGTCAACAAGGACATTAATGTTATTTATTTTTGCTTCTAAATTTCAAGTGGAGAAAAATAAACTATGCCACTGCCCTCCTGAAATCCCCAGGACAAAGTTGGGAGGGGCCGGAGGTCACATGACCAGATAAATAAAACACGTTGAGGTAAAAGTGTGAAACAGTGGGCTCGGCTTACATTGTAAAGTTGGAGATAAAGGCAGAAGATGGCAGGTCCACCTCAAAGGCTGCTTCCTTAATGATGGGGAGCTGGTTCCACACTGAGCTCTGGACTGTAGTAACAGCATAGCGGGACACAACAGAACACCTGACATGGTAGTTGGTCACCTTGAGCTAGGAATAAAGGAAAAATGAAGACATAAATCATGTCACTCTGCAGGACGATAGCTGGGGTTCTTTATCCCTGTTCTGGATAGAGTGTTAAGTTTAACATTTCAAAAACAAACAAAAAAAGCAGTGACATTTTAAGTGTGTCTGCTCTCACACACTCTTTGATTTCATTGGTCAGATTGACCAGATCTGGTTATGTGACCTCAGGTGGAGGAGACAACAGAGGAGAAGAGACACATCATCTTTTTATTTCGCCAAAAATAAGGCAAACTGTAAAGATTGAATTACTATAGTTTCTCGTTTAGATCTGTCTGAAACTTAAATAAAATAAAAAATTAAGATACTATGACCAATATAACAAATCCCCTCTGGTTGTGGATGATACAGTATAAACTACTAGCTCAGACTTAGCAAAAGCTTTTATGGACATCTGAACTTTTAAAACAACATCCAAAATCTTTGGACTAATTATGAGTTTTGTTGTGAATTTATTTTCTCTGCATGCAGTAAGTGGAAATTAATAAAGTTTTTTTAACAGGATATTCTTCTTTATTCTATGAACTCTTCTATTTCACCATACAGTGGCAAACGCACAGTAATTTGTGAGGTATGATAAATTGATTATTGTTTTACTTACGACACCCGTGCACAGAACTTACCACTGGTTTTGTTGGTTTGCTTTGCCGTTTTGCTCTCTGAAAAAAAAAAACAAGGCAAAGAGTCACAAAGTGCTAGTGTTCTGCATATTTGAGATAAGTGCTGTGTGGTGCAGCATGAAAACACGGCGCTTAAAAATACCCATTTCGCGGTAATCGTCACAATCTGACTATGTGAGGGTTGTTTGGGGGGATTTTGTGTCAAAGCAGTCTGAATCAAAGGCATTCATGAATACAGGGGAAGTGGAACTGGAAATAAATGCTTTCACTGTACACAGCGCCAGTGAAGGTGTTTGGCCTCAAAATGGTAATTTTGGACACAAGTCACTGCTGTGTCAATATATTACTACACATCAGGGCATTGAAGGGAATTTAACACAATTGAATAAGCATGAAAAAAATAAACCCACTACACATGATAAAAGTTAAGAAAAAGTTGTGTGAACATACAATTGAAAAGATTAAAAAATATTAGTACTGAATTTAAAATACTGAATTATATAATACACATATTCAACATTGGTATCACATTCCCTGTATGTGTGAAAATAAAAATAAAATATTCACCTGTAAGTTAACTTTTTCTCCGAGGTGTGCTTCAAAATCCTCTGACAGTGCCTCCTGTACATACAGAGTGAAGAAAACCAGCACGCACTGAAGTGTTATGTTCATTATGTCCATTATTTTTCTCAGACTCCAAATTGAACTTGACTGGTGAAGTGAGGCGGCTCGTACAGCAGGATGTTGTGATCACACCTCACATTTTACACCCAGTCTTCCCTCCACGGGGCAGCCTTCCCCCGCCCTCACCTTACCGTAGGTCAAGCAGCTCCAATAACAACAGAAACGCTCAGTGATAAAACAACTACAAGCATATCACGAAAAAAATATATATATTCAAACGTTACGTGAGCTCCACAGAGATGAGGAGAGCAGCTCTCAGTCTGTGCTCATGTAAACCATGCTGGAAATTTCACAGACTGCTGCCACTGAAGGTTCACGTGAAATGAGGGATTATTAACCCCTGCTTGGCTGTTTGAAGAAAGTACCCCACTACCTAAACACCTCCTCCTCCTCCTCCTCCTGCTGCTGCTGCTTTGAGAGTGGAAACTGTTTCTAGGGCACAGCCCATGTCACTAGAATGCCAGTTTCCATTTCTCCTGAGTGATCTTTAATAATGGCCCATTATTACGTGTCTTGGAGTAACAGCACTTTGTCTGTTTGGTGAACCATTTGAATATTTATACTTATGCTGACCTAAAATTAATATAAAAAAAAACTTAAAAATGAGATCTTCTGTCTGGACTTTGTTTTTAAAATAATTATCAGATTTTCCAGCAGTCATTTCATGTCACAGGACACCTACTGTATGGTGCTGTGTTTAACAACATGGTTTCTGTACTCTTTATTTTCTTGTTTTCCCTTTCTGTGGGCTAAATAACTCTGGCTTGACATATTTTTCAATGAACAAAAGTCCCATTGGATGACAGTAATGCAAACCATAATACGTAGAGCTATAAATTCCGCAGAAAAAGAAAAACGGCTGCGGTTGTTAGCAAGGTTAGCTTAGACTAGCATAGCTTAGCCTAGCTTTTCTTTTTTTTTTTATCAACAGCATTTTAATGTAATTCGAGGCAAGAATTAAGGTTTGTTATCATATTTTGACATTTTAAAGATTTACAGAGCAGCTGAGTTTCTTTTAGCCAACCTAACCTTCACTTGTGGTTCTCACTCTCCAATACATGAACTTCATATTTTTTGGCTCGTTGTTCACTTGTTAATGGCGGCATGAATAGCTGTGGAAAGGCTCGGATAACATAACAAAAAACCCCGCTTGGACAAACAACATGGACAAATCGATAAAAGTGGTTAGCGCTCTTTCCATAGATACAACCTGTATCATGAGTGAACCTCACTTACACTTGACGTTGTGATTGTCTGCAGCGCCCCCCTGCGACCCTGCAAAGGAAGTCACGTATTTTCCCCTCCATGTGCAAACATATGGATTCAACATTGCTGTTACATTTACCCTCCAGTAGATGTCAGTCTTGTCAGACTGTACGAGCTTCGTTAGTTTATCATTGAGTACATAACGAAAAATATATTTCATAATAGTTAAACAATGTAATTTGCTATAACACGGTGAACCAAATAAATATAAAATTCCACTTCGACTGCTATTTATAAAACATACAGCATGGAGGGCAACTAGTGTTTTTTTTCACCTCAACATTTTATTCCAACAGGTTCATTTCAACATTTGAAACATCTGTGGTTTCATTAAAATTTGACATTTGAAACATCTGTGGTTTCATTAAAAGATGAACATAATGGATTAAACATAATGAATACCCAAACTGAAACAAATACTTTATCAACTTGAATTTGTGTAAGGCCAGTTATGGACTTCCTGGTAAACAAAGAGATCCTGTATGTTATGTGTAAACCCACTGCAGTGCCCTATAAATAAATTAATCAACCAGTACCTGTGCAGCAGCTCTACCTGCATTTACAGCTACTGCAGTGAGCCTCAATACAGTGCTATATCTTCTTAAAATCACTGTAAACAATATGACATTTTATCATTAAAAACTTTGAGCAAAGTAAACTAGTAATAAGACCACGTTTTAATGTAAGTTTCGGTTTAAGTGAAGCGGGTCATGAATTTCGTGTCATTTTAGTCTCTGGTCTAATGGAGCAGCATTTAAATGTGATCAGGAACAGTCAGCAGAGCTTCCTCTGGTTGTCTGTTGATGTTGACGTTCTGCAGAAACAAAACCAGCAACAGTTTAGTCAGAGTAGCTGTTCCAGTGTATTCTCTGGTTCTGGGTCTCATGTTACATATAAACATAATTTCCTGAACAACAACAAATGTAACTTACCGTTGGCCTTTCTCTGTGTGTGTTTACTGCTTCAACATTCAGGAAAAACGACTCAACTTTACATCCTAAAATGACAGGCAGGCGGACGGTTAAAGAACAACTCAAAATAATTACAGCAGTTACACAAAGGAAGACTTTGACACATACCATAAGCAATCGGAGTGAGTTTAAGAACTGTGTGGAGTGGGCATCGTAAATACGGCAGCTCATCTTCAGAAGGAGAAAAAGTTTAGAGTCTGAAAATCAGCACGAGCTCCTGATTGATGATGTCAACTGATGAGTTTTACTTATCGTTACCTGCAGCTTTGTCTAGGAAGTAGGCCAGCAGACAGCGCATTATGGCTTGGTGACAAATGACTAGAACATTCTCCTGTCGTTCCAGCTCCATGATGACTGGCTCTAGTCGATGGACCATGTCATCATAGGACTGGAGAGAAGACAGAGGAGTTGATGAACTACGACAGATGTTTCAATCTTCACATGTTGAATCAAAGTTTCTTTTAAACCAGATGTTCTTAGGCAGCCCCTAGATATGGTCTCCTATTGGACAGTTAAGCTGTCAATCTCACATCGCTTCCACTCATATGTGGTTTATGATATATATCATATGAGTTGACTCTAGCCATTTTGATGCTCCTGGTAATGTTATGGTATTGCTCCCTCTACAGCCTTCTATTGTAATTGTTTTTACAATTACAGTATAAGAGGATACAGAGGATACAGCATGAGTCTCTCCAGCAGATGGCGCACTGGATGATAAATGACAAAAAGTCATTCAAATAATTTTCTACACCATCTATTGGGGAAACGTGGGTATTGCAGGGAAAAATGCAGGCAGAAATATAATGATAACATAAATAAATTATATAATTTGAAAAAGTTTGGCGGGCTGGATTAAAAAGATGAACGGGCCGCATCCGGCCCCTGGGCCTTAGTTAGCCTACACGGTCTACCTCTGAAGCCCTGCAGCCTTTCTCACCTAACTGATTACACAGTGTGATGTGACTGAAGTGCAATGCTCACTTCACCCTTAGGGTAACGGTAACGATATTTGTCCTGGTCTCTCAGTGCAAACTCCTCTGGGAAATTCTCTTGAATCTCTTCGTAGGTGAGCTCCTCACAAACACCCTGAGATGAAGGAGGCCACAACAGTTCATCACACAAACATTTCATTAACTAGAGCAGAGTCCCACTGGACCCTTGCGTGGATCTTTCCGGTCTTTCGTAGTCGTAGACTTACAGCATCTATTTCGTTGAGAGCCTTCCACTGTTCATACTGGACTCCCAGAGCCTCGGCAGTCTGGATCGTCCTCTTCATGTGGCTCGTCCACACCTTCAGGTCCTTGATGTTCTGACTCTTGATAAAGACGGCCAATGCACGGGCGTACTGTGGAAACCAGGGGTTGAAACGATTACATATTTGATCACAGACAGGTTTGCTATGTGTAAACAAACTTTTTTGTGTGTCTGAGGGACATCTATAAATATTGGAGCAATGCTGGAGAGTGAAAGAGTTTTATTACTGCCACCTACTGGATCTAAAAACATCTTTGCAAATCAACAGACAAAGGGATTGACTTCCAAGCACCCAAAAATTATTTTGGGGATTTATTTTGTATTTTTAGGATAATAAGCAATATCCTACACCTTAATATTGATGGCATCCACTCTCCTCGGTCTCACCTTCTGTCCCCCAGGGGAGAGGCCTGAATCACCTCCAATGCGCCCTAACAGGTTGAGCTCACTCTCTCCGTGGCGGCTCAGATAGATTGATCTTGGTGTGACGTGGATGTTCATGAGGTAGTAGACTATTCTACTCTGGATGTGATCCTGGACACGGTTCACCAGGTATCTGCTGCCCACGTCAAAGATCTTGATGTACGAAAGGTTTCTGTTCAAAGTCACAGCAATCATCTGTCACAAATGATCACTTCCATATCAAACTGATAAATTTGATAAAGAATGTCAATACCTGTCTTTCTCATCATCCAAAGACATGTAACTGGCCCTGTAACACTCTATCCGCTGGTTGAAGTCCTCCATGGCTTCTTCGATGTCTCGGTCCACATAATCTGGGCTCCCAAATTTCACTTGCTGCAAAATATTTTTTGGAGATTTTACCAAAACTAACACTATAACAACATGTGAACAATTAAATTACCAAAACACTATAACAACATGTGAACAATTAAATCCTCTTTCTTGGACAACTGCTGGTTACCTTGATGTTCTCTGTAATAATCTGTGGATCCTCACAAATGGATTCAACAAAGAAAACCTGGGTGAAAATAAACATAGAAAAATTAGGTTTTATTCTTCTTCTTAGGAATGAATCAGATCACTCAAAACACAGATGTTTTCTTTTCGAAAGTTTTTTGAACACATAAGAAACGTTTAGGAACAAGGTCATAAAAAAAAAAAATTCCATATGGTACTTGCCTTATAGCCCCTCTCCTTAGCAAAATTCTGGATAATTGCCCTTCTCTCCCGTGTGGTGTTGGTAGCATCAAATACCTATCAGGAAGAGCACAGGTGTCATCAATAAATCCAATATTTATTAGGATTAATATAAAAAAAGACTTGACTAAACTCTGTTTATCAATGAAGAAAACGACATAATTCAGATATAAGATTAAATTTCATAATTAATGGAAATTTCACATCATTTTGATGGAAAATCAATAGTATGTGGGATATTTGTGAGTAAATTTCAGCTGATAACAAACTGCAATTTTCAATAAAATATAATCCATTCCCCCTTCTACAGTGAATATATTATCAACTGTGTAACTGACTTGATCAAGACAGAATGCTGAAAAAATTTAGATTTACAATACAGCCTTATAATGTGATTCTATTAAACAGTCTTGTTAAAGCGTATGTCTTTATCTCAGCCTGAGGGACATCTTTAGTTGTCCTCTTACTCACTGCTACTTGTCCCTGTTCCTTGCAGAAGTATGCGGTAACGTCTTTGAGGGCAGCAGACGCGCAGGCCCTGAAGAGAAACATAGAGATGGTAAGGAATCTGTGAAGTGACAAAAACAAAACTCCAGTCGTCACCTGTGAAAACAATGACTTTACTTGCGGATCTTCATGGCCTCCTCGTTGTCTGGTTTAAAGAACTCAAAGTTCTTGTAGGTCTTGACGGCTTCCCTTCGATACTGGCCCACATTAAACACTGAAAAGAAAAAAAAATAGAGCTGGGAATTGAAGGCTACAAGCTAGCTGTGGATTAATCATGATGGAGATGAATGAACTTTTTTTTCTGTATACAGAAAGACAAATAACAGCAGGTAGAGGTCAGTGTTTCACATCTTTTGATATTTGTGATTAATCCAAATGTCAACAGAAATACTGAGTCAAATTTAGCTTCATAGGGTCAATGGGATTAAGTCGTTGTCCTCAGCAGTATTGATCGTCTACGGTCCTTCGACAGTGTTAGCCATCGTGTCAGTCGTAGACTTATTTACTGCCCTGCCCTCTGTGAGGCTGGTCTGATGTAAACCAGGGATCTGAGCTGATGATGAAATCTCCACAAACACATGCTGAGTATTAAAGTGGTATTTTAATCCCAAGCTGCTTTTGTGAAAGAAAAACTCTCTCCTGAAGTGTGTCGATATTAGAGCAACGATAACTGTACGGACTTGGATTTTTTTTAAAATCTACTGTAATATAAATGATCATGTTTTTCACGTTTTATGAAGAAAGTGAATTCTGCATTATTGTATTATTGCTTTGGTTTGGGTGCTGTTAGAAACTGACTTTTAGTAGGAACTCCGATCCAGTTCAAGTAGCGTGTGAGCTTCTTGGAGATGTAGGTCTTTCCTCTGGCAGGCAATCCTACCATCACGATCATTGTAGGTGAGTTGCAGAACTGTGGCACTGAGGCTGAAAGAAAAGAACAAGCACACACACACAAACAAACAAACAAACACACACAAACACAGTAACATGAAGCTGAATTTGGTGGGAGTGAAGTATAGTGTTACTTTCCTGTGGAAAGGAAACAAGTTGAGAGCATCAGAAACAACCTGTCACAGGATTCTCACAACTGTGGTTTTTTGTTTGTTTGTTTGTTTGTTTGTTTCCTGTGTGAATTCACTGCTTAAATAATCAACTTCTGCATCTGAAACATCTGAAACACCATCACCAAATGTCTTCACACTCTACACTTAACAAAACACAGACGTTTAACGTTCTTCCTCTGATGCTAACACCTCACTTGTACAGCACTTACATCCCCTCCTGCGGTTTAAGTTGCCGCCCATGCCCGGCACCCAGATCTTGAGCAACGGAGTTTGTGTGAGTTTCTTCCGCTCAGAGGTTGGACCAGTGTGAAGAGCCATGCTGAGTGTTAATCAGACGGATGTGAGTGCAAAGTGTGCTCCGCGACACTGCTCAACTGACTAGCTGCTGCTGCTGCTGCTGCTGCTAAGGAAGATGACTGTGTTGTGTCGGCAGCAGGGGGCAGACCTGAGCCCTGGTTGCTTTTCTGCACCCATGTCACTTGTTGTTGTTTAAAGACAACTGTTGAATTCCCCAAAGCGTTGACAAACAGCTAGGGGAACAGACAAATGATCCTGTTGTGGCGACGCACGTGGCTTCTCATATGACGACATTTGACGATATTCACACGTGGGCCAGACGTTAAAAGGCAGCAGAAACACATGGAGACTGTCGCTGAATATGTAGATTATTTGGCCTCTAGAGAGCAGCTTAAGTCTTTTGTTTAAAAATGTTTAGTAGATGCTTCAGTCAAAGACATCCTTCCTAAATGTATATCTACAGTAGAAACCACTTCATTGAGAGATGAGAGATATTATCGGGTGTGAATCATTGTGATACAAAATGAAAGTAGATAAATGAGAATATAATTTTGATGTAAGTAAAAAAAAAGATTATTATGATTCAACACAAATGCACTGACAACAGACTGCATTCACATACTTTGAAGCACTTCATTAAAAGGTATAAGTTATAATGGGCCACTAGAAGTGTATAATATACTAGTTATAATGGGCCACTAGAAGTGTATAGTGGTTTGTCTGGTTTGTGTGTGTGTTTTTTTAATGTGGTCATCACGATTTTTGGTAAAAATGTTTGCCAGCGATTTTATACCAATCAGATGACAGTGCAGCAACTGGTCTGAAATCTGGTGTAAAAAATGTGTTTTGTACTCGGTTAAATGAAACATTTTTATAAGATTCAACACCAAAAGTACTAAACAGGCAGTTTACCCTGTGTTGAGAATAACAAGCTGCTCAGAACCTACTTCATGTTATGGAAAAAAACTCAGACCTTTAGATAATGTGTTGTTGGTTCCGAAAGTTGGCTCTGGTCAAATTGTGCATATCCTTCATGATAAGAGAGTCAGCGTTCTTCCTGTCCCTCCCTTCTTGTGTGGAAAGTGTATCAGTGCACGTACACACCAGCATAAAGAGTATTTTCTGTCAAATAATATCACACTATGATTAATTCATGCCTCCTCTGTTGAGAGAAACCATCTGTCAACAGAGGAGGTGGTTTGAGACACAACCTTTCATCCATCTATAACGTCGTCATGAGTTCTCTCTCCCACAAAATTCCAAACCTCTCTCTGAAAAACACAGACCACAGTTTCATTTCAAAGAAGCCAAAAGCCAAAAAGTGTCGCTCAGGTGAAACTACTGTAGCCTCGTTACAGGTATGCAGCCCCCCTGAAGGATAAATACCAGAATTTCCCAGTGGCCAGTCATAACTTGAAGAAGCCTCTTGGATGAGCGGCGAAAACAAAACAAACTACTTTGTCAAGTTGCTTTCGATGTAACTATTTTTTGGATTAAATGACCTGGATGACTGAGAACCTACACAGACTCACACTATGAGCAAGTTTTACAAAACAGATACAATCAAAAGCCTTCAGCTTCTAAAACGGCATGTTTGCTTAACTCAGCATTCAACATGTGTGAGCTTGTTGATGTTTGACACAACTTCCTGGTCCTGTGGTGTCTGAATGGTTCACTGATAAAAAATAAAACAAAGACACAAAAACCAAATCACCGAGGTGCCCTAGATTATCGTCACCCACCCTGACGTGCGTTGCAGTAAGAAAAACAAGTGGCACAAACGTTACTTCCTATCAGTGCCTACACCACATTGTTTACTGGCAGAATCTTCTTCTTCAGAAGGCATTAAGAACCTACTGCTGCTGCATGGTCAACAGTGCCGTACGACAACACACACACACACACACACACACACATCTTTCAGAAAAATGGTTACGGTTTTATTTTATTGCCATCTCACCTGCGCTGTCACATCTGCGCCGAAGCCTCACATGTTCCAGCAGAGGAAGCTCCATACTGTGCTACGCTGCAGGGAAAGGACCAGCAGAGTGTCTCACAAATGTCCACTCCAACAACACACAGGATAATGTGACTAAGGTTCTTTTTTAAGATATGAAAGTGTAATACCAAAGGACTCTCACCCTCCTCCCCCCTCAATCATGTGAGGCCTGTCTTTACCATGGACATATGATAGCAGCTCACTAGGGCCTGTCCTTTAGTGTTTGCCAGGGACAGAGTTCAATTCATGCACACACAGAGACAGAAAGAGCGAGACAGAAAGACGAGCGAGAGAGAGGGAGAGAGAGAGCGTGTGCAAAGGTCATCCTGGAGGAGTTTGTTGTGGCCACATTTATATTTAATCACTATAATCATAAAAACATCCTGCAACAAACACAAACATTAGCGTTAGTTTAAGACAAAACTAGTTTGCCAAAAGTGAAATTGAAATTCCTATACAAACTAATGCAAATAAAGAAGTGCATTTGAATTCAATGTGATCTGGTTCTGGTCATCTGATCATGATTAAACACAATGCCTCAATGAGAACTTTTTTTATTTTTTTAAATGTAGCTTTCTCACCATGACGAGAGTAAAGTCTGACAGCGGCCATTCTGTCTGTGTTTTACATAAATACTGTGATTGCATTCACTGGACATTACCCTTTGATGATAGTGTGATTAGTTTAAAATCACAGAAAACCAGAGTTATTGTCCTTTAGCTTTAAAGTGGATTTTACCTTTTAAGTCATTTCATTTAAGCAGAATTTGATCATGCATGTGTACTACTGTTATTTATGGGCAACGGTCAACATCTTTGGTCCCTAGAAATTGTAATATTGATATTGATTCGGCTTTGAATCAAATCATGTCACGTCCCCAGTCTAGGGGAACTGGTACGCAGCACAATTTGTAGCCCCCCTCTTTCGCTTCTCATCCCCAAGAATGTGGCCAAGTCTAAAAGTTTACAGTTTTAGAGCAGCATTTTATTTTGTGAGGAAGTGAGGAGACAATGCCCAGCATACAACAAACCAAACTAAACGGGACCAATGGCATTTATGAAGCTATCTACCATGGCGTCCCAGTCCTGGGAATTCCTCTTATCTTTGACCAGTTCGACAACCTTGTGCGTTTAAAAGTCAAAGGCGTAGGTGAGATTATCGAAATCACAACAATGGATGTGGAGTCCCTGACGAGTGATTTGAAAAATATTTTAGACCCAGGAAAAAAATACAAAGAGAACATGGTCAAACTGTCTCAGCTTCATCATGACAAGCCAATGAAACCTGTAGATACTGCTGTGTTCTGGATGGAGTTTGTCATGAGGCACAAGGGAGCTGCACACCTGCGCACAGAGTCATATAAAATGCCGTGGTATTCATATCACAACGTGGATGCGATTGCAGTTTTGCTAGCAATTCTGATGGCAGTCCTTACACTGGTCTGGGTTTTCTGTAGATGGGTTATTCAATTTTTATGGTCGAAGAAGGATTCATCCAAGTCCAAGAGCGAGTAGGTCACTCGACAACATACTCTAAATCATCAGGATTTAGTTCAGGAAAAGAACATAAATGATTGAAAGGAAGCGATTGGGACTTTTCTACATCTGTAGATTTGCATTCTCTTTATTAGAGATAGAGCCAATATTGAAACATTATGGACTTTTCTGAAGAGCAATGTAACACCGTTAAAACAAGGCTATAGTTTAGAATATTGAATGAGTTGAAAATTTTGTAAATCTTTGTGAAAGAAAAAAAATAAACAACTTTAAATTCTGGACTTTTGTTGCTTGATCTTCCTTAATTCTTTTTTTTTTTTGCACAAAACCACCAAAACAAATGTTTTTGTAGCAATCTTTTAGTATTTCTTAAGATGTTTTCTGTTGACAGTCCTGACATAGTGCTAGTTCCTAACACTGGGTTGCATATACTTCTACAGCGAGTCCTCTTTCTCTGGTCCAATCTGTTACTGGTCAAATATCCCTAAGTCTGAAAACAGAGTTTAGAGAGGCTCAAATCTAAACCTCCCCAGGACCTCTGGATTTGTGTTCAGGTTGTTGTAGAATTTCTTGACAATAACCCTGGAATTTAAGTGGCTCACTGCTTCACTTCTAAAACCTTTGAAAAAGCTCTCCCTCTCTCCCGTGTACTGTACTGCAGGAGATAAATTGGGAACAGATTCTCATTCTCTGGATGAGTTTTACACCATGCGTCTTGTAGTGTTTGTGTGCATTGTGTTTAAAATAAAATTGAAACACAGTGTCAGAATAAAGACAACATTGTGTTTTAACATCCCGTTATCATTTAAAGACAGAGTGATTCTTATGCAGTCATATTTATCTTGTACGTTTCAGCACTAAAGGTCAGTTCAAGATACCTTAAGATACTGTGAGTCACAGGCAACATTTGTACTAGAACTTGCGCAATGTGATAACCTTAGATGACAAACAAGCTGTGCACCTGTCAACCCCACGAACTGCACATGTGCCCAAAGAAAACCTGTTAAAGGATAATCTGGATGTTGATGGTGTGGTCAGCTGGTGTGTAGGCCAAAGGTACTGCAAACTTAGAAAGAGATAAAACCCCAACAATAATTTCTGGTTCTGGTTCTAAAACAATCTTAAAGAAACCACTGTGAGGCAGCAGGAAACTTGTTATAAATCTGACTCTGATAGTACAGGACGTTTGGTGCTTTTTTTCTATTACCTTCAAAGTTTAACAAGCCTCCTCTGTGACCAAGCTGACCGTAGTATGACAAGTGGCTGAATCGTAAAAGCTACTTGTTTTTTGCTCACATAGGACTGAACATAAAACGTAGGAACGTCTTATATATAACATCTTTACTTTCAAATGATGAAAAAAAATAATCCAACTGATTTCTATTTCTTATCAGAACCCTGTGCAACCGACTGGCTTAGTAATAACTGGTTGATTTAGGATACACCGACACATTTACAAAGACACATTTTAACAACATCAACCACTCCATATCAACAACTCTCCAAAGGTAAGTGCCAGCAAGGATTAATGAAAAACAAAAGTCAGTTCCAATCCATTTCAATCTGTACTTTATATAAAGCCTCTAAAGATTAACTTAGTTCTGAAACATCACCAGGCAGCATGAAAAAATAAAACAGATGAGTAAAATACATATGGATGAGATTTCATCATCTTGTTGATAACACTGTACTATGAAAGATCCTGACACACTGAAGACAGGAATCTTTGTTGGGAAATTTGGGAGTCTCCCTCTAGTGGTGATTAGCTCAAAGTTGTGTAAATCTGTGTGTTAGAGTGATAGGTCTGGTCAGATAATGATTAGGTATAAATCTGTAATAGGGTTGGGGTGACCAGCATTTCCAAGTTAAAAACTTACTACTACTGATAATAATAATAATAATAATAATAATAATAATAATAATAATAATAATAATAATAATAATAATAATAATAATAATAATAATAATAATAATAATAATAATAATAATAATAATAATAATAATAATAAATACAGTAAAGGCCATTTGACCTAAATAAAATAAAAGCTGCTGTTATATTTTGTGTATTTTTAACTAACAATAATTAGTTATTGATTATTGGAGGAGACTGTACGTGTGTGTAAACGTTCCTTCTGTTCGTGAAATAAAATATTAAGGCAAATACTGAACAAAATAAATGGAATATCATGTTTGTTTGTTTTTTTTTTTCCAGTTCAGTCACTCGACTAGTGATGGTCATTCGTGTCTTCACTACTATTCAACTCAATGAATGATCACAATCAAGTGCACTGACGTGTTGTTGTTTTTTTATTATTCTGCTCTGTACAAATCTGCAGACTGTCTGCTCTCTGTAGAAGTGTTGCATCTTTGAAGGTGTGCTGTAATGATTCCCACAGCTGCTGTTGACACTTTTCTGACATTATTTATTTTGTCTATTTCTGTTTGAGGCTTGGCCGACAGGTGTTTCCTCACAGGCAGAATTAAAACTATCTGAAAAATCGCTAAATGTAGTTTGCTCAGGTGAAATGTTAAACCACGGCAGTGCCCTGACACTAAATACCTGTTTTTGATGTATAGTTGTATTATTAAAAATAAAACCGTAATGAATCATAAAAATAATTTATACTGTAGAACCAGAGTGTGTGTTGAACATGAACCTGGCCATTTACTGTATTTATGTAGTTCCAATGGCTGAGCAACACAGGAGCTAATTCTTATTTTTAACCCTGATGACTAACAATGGATTTGAATAATCCAATTCATAATTTGGTCTTACAGAATATGCGGTTTAATGGTGCATTATGGTAAAAGCTACAGTCACGTACTGCAGCAGCAGTCGGTTTAGGTTTTCTTTCTGCAACTTAATAAGCAATTGTTATGCAGCGTTTCTGCATGCTTCAGTGTACACTTCCAGTACACTTCCTCCTGTACATTATCATACTTTACTGAACCCCTTCACCACAAACATGTGATTTGATCACTTCCTGTGAAGTTTCAGCAAAAGCAGCACAAACAAAACACCTTTTTTATTAACAAACTTTATATATATATATATATATATATATATACATATATATATATATATATATATATATAAATACAGGAGTTTTAAAAAAATACATATACAAATGAATAGCGATGATTCCGTTTTGACTTTAGATGATGGACAGGCGCATGAAAGTGTTGCGAATCTGGTGCAGCAGCTGCCTGAACTTGGCCACTATATCTCCATGAAGGTAAACCAGAGGATTGAGGGCACAGTTTAGACAAACAAGGGCTCGACTTATTTGATTAGCAACGTAGACCCTCTCACTCCATTCATGGCAAATTTTCCTTCTCTCCAAAACTCTTGAGTAGAGATTCAGGTTCTTCAACAAATGAAATGGAATATAACAAACAGAGAAGAGAAGAATCAAAATAAAGAGCAACTTGAGGCAGTTTTGTTTCAGTACCTTGTCTGAAATGTTTTTGGAACAGAGAATGACAATTACATGTCCATAACAGCCCAACATGATCAGGAATGGAATTAGAAATCCAATCAAAGTCCATCCAAGGCTGTAATACAGATAGTCTTCAACAAAGGTAGCCCTGGTGGTGTCATAGCATTGTGGATCGCCGTTTACACGTGACTTTGGGTAGAACATGTCAGGAATGCTTTGAGCAGCCACGAACAGCCACACCATAACTGAGACAACCACAGAGCGCTTGGCAGTTATTCTTCCTAGCTCTGTCATCGGATGGACGATAGCCAAGTACCTGTACACACTGATACAAGTGAGGAATCCAATGGTGCCATATAAGTTCAGGTTGAAGCAGAATCTTGTTATCTTACAAAATGTGGTCCCAAAAACCCACTTATCCTCCATCGAGTAGTACACCACCAGAAATGGCACAGTGAGGAGATACAGAACATCAGCCAGTCCAAGGTTGAGAACAAACACGTTGACGCTCCCTAGTTTCTTCCAGTTGTGCAGCAGGGATTTTAGTCCCCATCCATTTGCGACCAGACTAACAACAAATACACAGCTCAAAACTGGAGGCAGAAATTTGGTCTTAAATTCAAAGCTGATTTTGTTACAAGTTGTGTTATTCATTGTCTTCCACACAGCGCAGATTGATGCTCCAGAAAGGACTTGTCTTGAGTCTGAATCTACACATGCTGCTTTTGAATTTCTACACATGCCAGAACCAGGAAGCTCATGTAATAGGTCGCTGCGTGACTCAAATGTGACGAGCAGGGAGGATACGAGAACACGCAATTGACGGAGGAGGTGCAGTTAGAAGTTGTACTAATACGCAGACCTCGTGTACTTCTTTTGGTACAAATTTTGAATTCTGAATGACTTTAAAGGGTTTTAAAATTGAGACTTCCACTTTACAAATTCATAATTATAATACTAAGTGCAAAGTTACAAACACAACCCACAAATACCAACACACTCTCACTGACACACACACACACACACTGTAGAGATATGTGTAGAGATATACAGTATATACTGTACATAAGAAAAGTAGGGCATATCAGCATACAACAAACCAAACTAAACGGACCCTGCTCTTTCCTCCAACAAACAAAAGAAAAGAAAATACTTTTGTTACAGTTAAGACCCTGTCCAACATCTTGAACGTTCACTGAATGAATGTTTTTTGATGCAGCTGTGGCAGAACAGAAGCAGGGAGGAGCTATTTCAAATCCTGGGAGGCTGCATTTTACCGAGAGGAAAAAAAAAACAAAAAAACAAAAAAACAAAAACCAGGCAGAAAGGAAAGGTCAGGGGGCACTTGTGGTTATACAATCACGAGGGCTTTAAGCACTGTACAAGATAACCAAAAACACTGAGTTTTTCCCTGTGTGTGTGAAGACGGTGAGACTGTGGTCGACACAGTTAACTAGTTTGAGGTAAGTTTTTGTTTTTTTCTTCCATCTTTTCAATGATGACATAATTTAATTTATACCAATGCAGAAATGTAAAGAAATTGACTTAAAAAGATGCAATACATTTAGTATTGTGTAATTTTTCTTGCTGCTCTATTCAGATTAAAATGTGCATTTCAACTGTCAACCTTAACCATTTTACACCTGGAGATTTATTTACAACAAGACTTCCTGCCTTTCAGTGAAGAACTTGGGACAGTGGTGCTGCATTTATGAACCAAATACTTTCTGAGAAACAGAATCCCCAGAGTTAGTTTTCACGGGGGAACTCAGAACCTCTAGGAAAACAATTATTGTCTGAACCACAAAGTACTGCTGAAGTAAAAATGTATTCACCTGCTGTTATTTAGGAAAGACACAGGAACACATGTAACAGTTTAGTTCACACGGCCGTTACATGTGCACATGTCATCTGCTTTATTATATTTTTGTGAAGAAATGTAAAAAATGTATCTGATGATCAAACATATTCTCTGACATGAAGGAAACAGCACAGTGCTTGGAGAAGGAGTGACAATAAAAATCAAAATACCGACAGGTTCTGCAGGTCAAGCAAAAAAACTAAAGGCTATCCTTTTCCTTTTTTAATGTTTTAATGTTTTAAACAAACACACAAAAAAAATAAAAAAAATGTTAAAGTGATAATATAATAAAGCAGATGATTCAATTAGATTAGATTAGAAGATTCCTGGACCTTATCTGACCCTGTTGCAACACGAACCAATCCAAACACAAGAAATATAAACAAAGCAAAGGTAACAATGTTAGAAATTAACTACATTAAATGGGCAGCAAAGTTCAGCGATAGACTGAATCTAAAAGTCATGCTCGTTGGCACCGCTGGCAGCCGGGGTGGGGGGCGGGGGGGCAGGG